TTAGTGAGGCCCTAAGCAACTCAGTGTTGCTGGGCATGTGGCTCAGTGCTAACTGACCCTGAGTTCAATCCCTGGTATCAAAAATAAACAAACAAATAAATACATATAAAAGGGGATGGGAGCATAGCTCAGTGGTTAAGCACTCCTGGGTTCAATCCCCAGTACCAAAAAAATGTAAGTTCACTTCCTAGTGTTGTATTTTCATGTCCTTCTGCACTCTTAAGTCCACTTAGAAGTTTATTGAATGCTTACTTAGTACAAAGCACTGTGTTTGGTGTTATCTGAATTAGCCTAGATTTAGCAAATGTCCCCCGAGGACTGTACTTACATGGATGTTTGTAAGAAAATAAAGCTAAAATAAAACATATTTGCTCCAATTTTTTTAGTGCAGTAGCACAGAATGAAAACAGTTTAGAAAGACTTCATTAGCCTACAAAGTACCTGTGAGCTTGTAGTTAGCTTTATGAGTGTGTTCAGAACTCATCCTAACATTAGAAAAATCCATTCTAAAAATTATTGACAGTAAGTTATAATTAATAATTCATGCAAAATGCTGTAAATTGGTAATTTCCTAGATTATGCTGACCAAAGTTATTGTAGCAGTATTTATAGTCTCTTATTTGAAGAAATAAAAGTGATCTAGTTATTGGAAGAATTTTCTATTAGCACATTTTAAGATGACTAGTTGGTTCATTAAATAGGTTTGTATAAGATCCACAGAAAATCTTGGTAAACTTGCATGTGTTACATGTCGAGAGATACCTATGATTTCTTTAATATGGATTTTTAATACATGTTCTAAATCTTACTCAACTTTTTTTTTGCTGTGGTAACTACTGTGTTTGGGAAACTATTGATGAAATGAATCTGAGAGAGTCTTAAAAATTGCCTGGTTAAGTATATTTGGTCTCTTTTGAAATTATTTAGCAGAAAATATTAATAAAACCACTAGCCTTTAAAATGCCCCCCCAGAAATTCCTTGAATTATACTGTTATAAAATGGTTATTCATTCATTCAACAGCCGTATTGGGTGTCCAGTGTCAGTACTGCTTTATTGTCAGAACCAGGAAATGTGGCGATCATATCCTTGTCATGGAGCTTACATGCTAGTGGGAGAGACAGATGGAAAAATAGTAAACACATGCATACACACACACATTCAGAGAATGGACACAGTGCACCACCACACCAGGCCACACCACTTCTTTTAAAAGGTTGAAATACATGGTTCTGGGCAGTGGCAAACTTAGATAGTGGTCAAGAAAGGGCTCCGTCCCAGAACTGCAGACATGGTTGCATAATGGAGTACTCGCCTAGCATGTGCAAGGTCCTGGGTTCAATCCCCCGTACTACAGAAACATCATGAGGACATGATGTTTCACCTGAGACCTAAAGAAGGAGAAGGAGCCAATCCTGACAAGGTCTGTCTGAGGAACATCCCAGGCTAAGAGCACAAAAATTAAAAAGGCTTTGCCTGAGTTCAGAAAAAGCCTGGTATGTTCAAAGAAGAGAGGAGGTTGTGCGCATGGGATGGGAAGGGAGATGGTGTGCAGACAGGTGTCCCAGATGAACAGATGCAGACCCCGCAGACCCTTGCAGGTCTAGTGAGGAGTTCCGATTTCCCTCCACAGGCAGTAGGCAGTCACTGGAAGGTTATATGCAGGAGAATGGCCTGTTTTATGTTTTCCCAAGAGGACCCTGGCTGCTCTGTGTCAGGAGCAGGAAGGAAGGCTGGGCATCACTGAGACATTGTCACCAGCCAGTTTGGAGTTGAGGTGCCAGTGGACAGGGTCGGGGGTTGTTAACCCTGGAGATGGAATAGAGGGAACAGGTCCAGGAAGATTTGGATGTAGAGGAGATAGGATTGCTGATGGAGGAGGGGGATGGGAAGGAGGTAGAAAATAAGTCCTCATGATGGAGTATAAAAACAAGATGACATGGAGATATTTAAGCATCCAAATTCCATTTTCGTTCTATACCCTGAGTTCAAAGTTATTGCATGTATTCATAATTATAACGAAGCTGAGCTTTTCCAGAGCACATGCGATTCTGACACACTGAAAGCATGCTGCTTCTTATGGTTGGCTGCTGTACATGAACAGAAATTAACCAAGAAGATGCAGTGAAACTAAGCAAATAGTTTCAGCCAAAAACACAAGGACTTGCATGATGTAACGTGTTAATTTTGCTAATCGTCATTTCCTTTTTTAAAGAGAAATTTCCTCTTGCAACCCATACACAATCAGGAAATCTTTCAACCTGCTTATTTCAATCACAGGGTATAGAAGAAAGATGGAATTTGGATGCTTAAATATCTCCATGTCATCTTGTTTTTATACTCCATCAGAAGAAATTATTTTCTAGGTCCTCGCCATTGCTAAGGATGGCTTTGGTCTCGAGATCCTCCTATCTCAGCCTCATGAGCCACTGGGATTACAGGTGTGCACCACCACACCAGGCCACACCAATTCTTTTAAAAGGTTGAAATACATGGTTCTGGGCAGTGGCAAACCTGCCCACTCAGATGGGCCTGACCCACATGATTATGTCATTTTTTGAATCTTCAGTGTGAATTGAGCTTTCCCAGTCATTGAGCAAAGCTCACATCCTCAGTAACAGCCCCAAATTCTATGTGATAGTTTCCATCTGCTGTTCTCCCACCAAATACTGTAGGACTTTTGCAGAGGGCTTCTCTTTGTCACACTTACGTCTCAGAAGTCTGTGAGTTCTAAGTTAGATCAGTTCTGGTTTCTGCTGATTTTTATCTTCGTGGACCTTCTCCTTTTCTGAATTTGGGTATTTCTCTCTTCCTTTGGCCATTGAAACAGTGTACTATTCCTCTTCTCATATCCGTCTTGCAGAGAGTGGAGCCACAACAGAGCTGGTGGAGCCTCCTGTGACACAGGGAAGGGGAAGGAGCTGGGCTTGGCAGGGGTTCAGACCTCAAACTTGAACACTGTCCTGCTGCCCTGTCTGATGCACGTGCTGGAATATCCCCACAAATGGTGATCTCCAACTCTGTTACCTGGTTTTGTCCATCAAACCATTTTCCTTCTAGTCCATCCAAGCAGGTTCTGGTTCTTCCAGAGGACCACTGTACAGTCCTCCAAGCAAGGGGTTGTGGTTATGCACAGCTTTAAGTGACAGTGAAGACAGTGATCTGGTCCATCCTAGAGCACCCACAATCTCACCCTGCTTTCAGTTCTGGCCAGCCACAGTAGCTTGTGACATGAGAAATCATGCTTAAAAAGCAAAAAGGGAGAGCTCATGTAAATACATGTGGGAGATAAGATAGGAACTCATAGATATGTATGCTGCTCCTTCCTTCCTTCCTTCCTTCCTTCCTTCCTTCCTTCCTTCCTTCCTTCCTTCCTTCCTTCCTTCGATTGAACACTCAGGGATACTCGTCAGGAGCACTCGACCACTGAGCCACATCCCGAGCCCTATTTTGTATTTTATTTAGAGACAGGGTCTCACTGAGTTGCTTAGCACCTCATTTCTGCTGAGGCTGGTTTTGAACTCATGATTCTCCTGCCTCAGCCCTCTCAGCTGCCACCTTCCTTCTACAGGACTTCTTTTCAATTGACATCTTAGAGAACCTCAAAGAATAAACCAGGAGGCACTCAGGTGCCAGGAGCAGACTCCCCTGCTCCCCTAACATCCCCCTTTGCTGGGGTTACTCCTGCCCCCTGAAATCTCAAAGAAAATTCTGGGGATCCCTGGAGCATTCCTTGACAATCACCACACTATGGTGTAAAAATTTTTTAAATGAAGATGGATATTTGCATTGCAGGTCGACACCTCTTTTAAGAGTCGCCATCCGTGGCCTCTTTGATACAGGGTCTTCAGCGTCTCCTGCTCTCATTACTTCTTTTGGGGGTCATATGCATGCAGGAGGCCACAGTCTCCTAGTGCATTATTATCTGCTCTGTCTTGCTCTCTCCGGGCGTCATCCATATGGCGCCCACACATCTTTCTGCTGTTCCATCTGCTTTTGTCATTCCTTAAGTTCCTCCCATGGCTCACCATTCCTCATAGGAGGAAGGCCCCCAGTGCTCCGCTCTCCCCTCTTAGTTTTAGTCATGTCCCTGTCTGCCTTGTCTGCTCCTCCCCAGAAAACACCTGCTTATAGCTCCTACCAGCACCAAGGCCTCCCCACCTCCCAGCTCCAGGAACCCTCCTACTCCTTAGTACTGGATTCATATTGCACATACTTAGATATAACTTTACAACTTCCTGTTTTGTTTTTATTTTTTTGTGTGTTTTGTTTTGTTTTGGAAATGCTGGGGGTTGAACCCAGGGCCTTGTACATGCTAGGCAAGTGTTTTACCACTGAGCTACATCCCTGGCACAACTTCCTACCTTTGAGCCTCATCTCACTCCCAGCCTTTCTCTTCCCACCTTTCTCTCTCTGCTCTGAGTAGTCTTCTGTTGTGCCCCTGTCAATTAGAATTGTGACCTTTGACCTACTGTCTGTCTCCTCCACTTAAATGGAAACCACAGACAGGGATGTTTGTGGGGAGGGAGGCTACTCACTTTCTATCTGCAGCTCCCAGGCCCCAACAGATGTGTGACCCATAAAGGCACTCAGCATTTGAATGAATGAATCATCAAGTTACCACGGATGCATTTAGGAAGATGGGAATGGCAGTTATTAAATAAATCAGCTCCAAGTTAATAAAAACATAAATCATTCTTCAAAGTCTCACTGCTGCAAGACTTTCAGGACTCTGTCTATTCAAATGAGATCTCAGGTTCTTAAAAGGAAAGTTTTATTTGTTGATACTTCAGGAGCTTCCACCATGTGTGGAAGTCCCACCATCCGAGTGGAATTGGCTGTGGCCATAACCAGTTGCAGCATTCAGAGCTGATAGTATTCATAATTCATAATCCAAGGGATAGAGGGTAGTGGTGGCAGGCATGTATGTGTGAAGGTGTGTGTGTGACAAATGACTGGGTGTTTTAATGAACCGCTCACTTGAAAATTGTCTTTCTGCAGGTGATGTATCACCAATCAGTATGTCTCCCATCAGTCAATCTCAGTTTATTCCACTCGGGGAAATCCTCTGCTTGGCGATATCGGCAATGAACTCGGCAAGAAAACCTGTCACCCAAGAAGCACTGATGGAACACCTGACAACTTGTTTTCCAGGTAATGAGAAACAAACAGAGCACTTGCCAAATGGATATGTGTGCTGGTGGCTGTTGGACTTCAAAGGGATCATTCTTGTCACGTTTAGCTATAATGGGGCGGGGGGGGGGGGGCACTTCACCAAAACTACCCAGAAGCCTTTCTTCCTTCTGTCATTAAAAGTCAAGGCACCTGAGTTACATCAAAAATAAGTTCACTGCTTCAGCTCTGATTGTCTTTAATTGGCACTGAGCAAAAAGAAAATTAAATCAGAATCCATAAAGAACCGGCAAAAATGACCAGGATTCTATTCAGTCTTTGCCATCCAACCTTTCTTAAGTCTGTGAACATGAGTGTTCAAAGGGCTAGTTCAGAATAACCCCAAATTTTCATCCAAAGTAATTAAACTACAGAAAGAGTAATATTCAGAGTAAACATATTTCACAAGTTCATTTCATGGCTTGGTGAGCTTTAAGAAAGTATTATTTGGTAAGTTAGTTAAGATTTCGTTTTAAAAGAAAAATACAAATATTTGCTTTTCTCCTAAATATTATAAAGATGAAGGCAATAACCCAGGGGCTATAGGAACCACATTGATGCTTCCAAGTTGAGAAGATGTCAGGAATGGTAATAAGCTAAAGAATGGATGCCTCATCTCAACACAGCCCACGTCTCAGCTCCAGTGTATTGTTACCACTCCACCTGCAAGGCACAGAATCCTGCCAGAGTAGCCAAATTTAATTTTTCAGAAGAACTGGAAATTCATTTTATGTGAAATCCCTAAATTTCCTTAAATGCTACAATTTGTGTGTTTGTGTGTGTGTGTATGTTCAAGTATACATACACACACACAAACACAAAAATTGTATATATCTCAGCAACAGGTGGGTCAAGTAAATTACATTTTGGGGCTACCAGAATCTGTTCCTAGGTTGAAATGGAAATTATATTAAAAATGAATGAGTGCTCTATGTGGTGGTGCACACCTGTGATTCTAGCAACTCAGGAGGCTGAGGCAGGAGGATTGCAAGTTCAAAGCCAGCCACCAGCCTCAGCAACTTAGCAAGAGCCTGGCTTAAGAAAAAAAAAAAAAAAAGAATGCTTGATAGATGATAGATTGTTCATTCTGCTTAGAAGAGACCTTGGTAAATATAAGCTATGAGAATGCTGGATAACAAATGATACAGAGCATCAGGGGCCTATAGCAATGACTGCTTATTTATCTCCTTTATCTGTGGGTTCCCCAGTAGTCAGCTAATTCAGCTGAGGCCTAACAGAGTGGTCATGCTCTACCTGTACCCCATCCTTTTTAGAAAAGAGGCAAGCAGAGGCTCACTTTGCTGGTAGGGATGGCAGAAGCACAAAAACACAGGTCCTTGGTACAAGAGTTCCTCAACCCTTTGATCTCACTCTGTTAGCATTGCATGCCCCAAAGCAAACCTGACCATTCCCAAAGTAAAGGTGTGGGGAAGTGTACCCCACACAGGTGGAAGGTTGGAAGTGCCAACTCTAAGCGAAATGGTAATCTACGTGACCACACTGGGTTTCCTGAGAGAAACTTTAAATTTCTCTCCTAGTGATTCTTCCTTCATTTTCGATTATCTGAGTAATATATTTCGATATTATATGTAATGTTTAAAAACTCTAATATGAACCCACCCTTGCAACCTATAAATTATCTTAAATGTTGTAATATTTTATTTTCTCTGAATTTTCTTCACTATCTGATTGTTTCTTTTTGTAAACTTGCAGACAGAACTTTTTCTTTCAGTAGTAAGATAAGCAAAATCCCAGGGGACAGTGTCTCAGAGGGGACAGATGCTGTTGGCAGATTCTGTGCTTTTGTGAAGGATGGCCCTTCTTTCTGCCTGATTCCTGGGTAGCCACTTGTTATCAAACAACCCAGCAGCTTTTGAATCCCTTGCGTTTTTATATAGCTTCACGGGAGATCATATAGATTTTTCAGAATTTGGCTACTCAACTTCCCGTTTCTGAAAAGAAAGAGAAAGAACACAGAGTCAGCATGTAATGGTAAAATGCTCATCACCAGAAGCAGCTGGTAACAGTATCACTAAGTTGAAGTACCTCATAGAGAAATCCATAGATTATCTGTACTTAAAAGAATAAGTGCTTTGCTAACCTTTTTGGTGGATGAACAGAAATCCCAAGGCCTTGGTCTTCAGAGGAACTGAGAGGAGCTAACTAAACTTTCTCTGTGACACTGGTGACTGTTGACCGGCTCCAGAAGTTTGGAAGGACACCGTTTAAACTAGAGTCTAGGTCAGGGGTTTATAAACTATGGCCTGCAAGCCTAGTGCAGCCCACCACCTGTATCTGTAAATAAAGCTAAACTGGAACTCAGCCGTGCCCGCTGGACAGTGTATTGGCTTTGGCTCCCCATACTGCACTGTCAGAGTTGAGTAGTTGGAACACAGATCATATAGCTCCCAAAACCTAACATATGTACTATCTGGCTCTTTACAGAAAAAGTTTGCCAATCCCAGGCTTAGGATATAATGACAATTATTTAAAATTTTGTTCAGCAATAGTTCCAAATTTTAAACTAGTATTTCATTAAAAAATGAGATATTGTATCCTGCCTGCCTTTTTATTCTTTCTTACCTCCTTCCTCCATTCTTTTCTTTCCCTCCTTTGATTTTTTTTTTTTTTTTTTTTTTGGCCTTTCTTTTGCTTGTCACTTAAGTGACATCAGAACAAAACACTTTCAAAAACTCAACATTGTTAGTTTTTTTTCTGCTTGAAAAATGGTTTTTTAATGACAGTACTTACTATCATATTTATATTTTTTGTTTTTAAAGGTAAGAGTATTTATTTTTTAATGCCTTATTATTTGAAGATGAAGTTTAATTAAATGTGAAAATATTTGAATTCTCATATTTAGCACATGGTTAATAAGTATAAAGAATAGTCTAGAATTGGGGCCTTTGTTCCTGTTGTGGAATCCATATTATAAAGAGTTTTCAGTGAAAGTTCTTCTAGTAAAGAATGTATGATATACCGAAAAAAATCTTATCACCTTTTATATAGGTTGAATTTTTTGAAATCCAATTCAACAACTTTTATATACCAGTCTCCATTACAGAATTCAAGAATATTTCTTAAAAGGTTTAAAAAGGATATATACTTGCTTCTCACATTTCGCGGGGAAAGGGGGATTAAACCCCGGGGAACTTATCCACTGATTAACATCCCCAGCCCTTTTTATTTTTTATTTTGAGACAGGGTCTTGCTAAGTTGCTGGGGCTAACTTCAAACTTGTGACCCTCCTATCTCATTTTCCCAGGTAGCTGGAGTACAGGTGTGCACCAACATACCCTACTTCTTATATTTTTAAAGACCTTCTCATCCATTCATGCAGAATGAATAATTGTTTAAATTGTTAGAATTGAATCCTTCTGGGAGGACAGCTGGCCTTGAATAAAATGCAGTTAGAACTATCAGGCTGGTTATGGGGTTCAAGTTCATTTTTAAATATATGTTTTTGCTTTGGAAGATGTAAAGGTGTGGAAAGGAGATAAGTCAGGTTTCAGCTCTGTTAGTATGCAAAGCTTATCCTTGTTCTTTAAGCCCTCAAAATTTGAAGTCATGATGGACTTTAGGAGTAGAATCCGAAAGTGATGGAATACACAGACATTCCTCACCGCCACCACTCTCCAAGTGAGCCCTACAGATTCCTGGTAGAACTCAAGATTTCATGACAATTGAAAATGTCCGTCATGATACAGGGGCTTAATAATAAAATAATAATAATAGGTATCAGCAATTTTCAGTTAAATCTTTGAAAATTCAAGGTAGAAGTATAGAAAATGGATGGAGAGAAAAGAATGTTTATGGTTTCTTTTTCTTTCCAAGTAAACATGATTTGATTTATGAACCGAAAATCCAAAACAAAAAGCAGAGGTGCAAATGCTCTATGGAATTCTTTCTTATCTCTTCTTTTGGAACAACCAGAGAACTTGTTCTTAACGGTAAGTAAAGATGACTGCATTGTAATCATGATTCTCTATAGTTTCATGAGTTTTCTAAGATCATTATTTAAAAGGCCTGTACCATTAACCAGCCCATTCTATAACAATTCAATTCTTGTTTTAAAGTAATGGCTGTTCTTATGAATCACACCTCAGCTTTCCTTTAGTAGCAGTCATAGTAAATTAGTCAATCATGAATTCTAAGACCATTGAAGATACAGTCAGTTTTAAACATGGGTTTGTTCTTTTAATTTCTGGTGCCAATAACTACACTATTCTTGACACTCCAGTATGGCTACTGTGTATTCTCCTCTCAGGAGTAGCATTCTGTGTGAATGAAGTCTTCTTTCAGTTATCTGTTAGAAGGCCCTAATAGTTAGTAGAGAGTAGAAATTCTTTTAAAAATGGTTACCTGTAACCATTTTGTTGTTGTTTTCATTTTATGACGGTGCTCAAAAATGGCATGCGTATGGTTTAGGTTATACACTAATAAAATTAAAATGTATTTATATTTTGTATAGAAAGTACCACAAAAATTTTAAATAACAACTTTTATTTTATCAGTCTTAAAATCATTTGTACAAAATAACCAATGTACATTGGTCAGAAGTTATGCATTATCCCAATAGCTTGGAAGGCTGAGGCAGGAGGATCACAAGTTCAAAGCCAGCCTCAGCAAAATCGAAGCACTAGTCAACTCTAATAAAATACAAAATAGGGCTGGGGATGTGGCTCAGTGATTCTAGTACCCCTGAGTTTGATCCCTGGTATCCCTCCCTCACCCCACAAAAAGTTAAGCAGTAGATTAGGGCTGGGAATGCAGCTTAGTAATAGTGTGCTTGCCTAACATGGGCAAGGCCCTACATATGAAAAATAAATAAAAAGAGTAAAACATTAGATTAAAAGGAAACTATGCAACTCAAAAATGAAATAATTATGTCACTCAGTACATTATCTATTAACAGTGTTATATTTTTTTACCTTGGTCACTAAGGATGCCTTCTAAGGAGGAAGGAGGATGACATAAATATGTGTGTATGTGTGTGTTATATCATACTTGTAGACTCTGAGAATTCCAGACCATTTCTAATATTTTTATATCCTACTTCATAGTTTTGGAAGGATTGGAGTATCCTAAACCTCTCAGGTCACCCAGCTGTTCTAGGTTGCTACACAACATTCTTGGAAGGTAATGTGGGATTTCGTGGATCCTGACCCAAAGTTTAAGACCAATACTAAGTAGTATTGGTTGAGCATTCACTATATGTCAGTCACTGTTCTACAGGCACCAAATTCAGACTAACAGCGCCAGGAATGTAGGTACCATTATTATCCACATTTTGATGACAATAAACAGAAACTCTAAGAAGTTAAGTTGCCAGCTGCACTAATGATACCAGCTGCACTGATTTTCTAGGGCTGCTTAACAGAAGTTTATCATCCTAGAGTTGAAGGCCAGATATCCAAAATGAAGATGTCAGCAGGTTGGTTGGTCATTCTGAAGTCTATGAGGAAAGAATCTGTTTCATGGATCTGCCCTTGGCTTGTGGATGGCCAACTTCTACCAGTGTCTCTTTATATTATTTTCTCCCTTTATATTATTGTCTCTGTGTCTACATTTCCCCTTTTCAGAAGGACATCAGTTATATATTACAGCCCATCCTGATGATCTTATTTGAACTTGAATACAGTTGCAAAGATCCTATCTACAAAAAAAAAAAAAAAAAAAAGGTCAGTCTTAGGAGGCGTTACCACAGTTAGAATTTCAACACATGAATCTGGGGTAGCGGCGTTAGTCAACTTCCTATTATAACAAATACCTGAGATAATTGACTTGGAAGGGGCTCACTTTGGCACATAGGTTTAGAGGTTTCGGCCCATAATCATTTGACCTCATTACTTGTAGCCCTGTACTGAGGCAGCACTTGGCAGGACCACTTAATGGAGCAAAACTGCTCGCCTCATGATCAGAAAGAGAGGGGAGGCAGAAGTCCCACAGTCCTCTTCAAGGCCACACTTCCAATGACCTAAAGACTTCCCATTAGGCTCCAGAGCTTAAAAGGTTCTATGACATTCCCAGAGCACTAATCTGGAGACTGAATCTTTAACACGTGGGCCTCTGAGACATTCCAGACACAAACTATGACAGTGGGTGAGGGAAGTGGGTGAGGTGCGTGGGTCAGCCGTTAACACCAGCTATCAGTGATAGAGCTGGGCTTTCCATCCAGGAGTCTGGCCCCAGGACCCAAGCTTTCAGTCTCCACATTACACCGCCTTAACCATGTTTGGTTGACAATGTGAAATTGCCATTTTGTGGGTCAGACACGGTTGAATATTGGCAGTTATTCATATGATTCAACCTGACCTGTTTCTAAATTATATCATTCAGATCAATTTTATAAGTAATCACCCTTTATGTGATGAGGACTACAGAATACCCAGGAAATAAAGTAAATGGACTATAGCCTGATGAATTTATACTCTCTGAAGGATTTATACTCTTGATTCTGCCTCTTAAGGTGGAGAAGACATAAACATGCACACAAAACCCCTTGAAAACATTATTAGTCATTATACAAAGAAGCATCTATCATTTTTATTCCTAGTGTTTCTATTCTAGAAAAGCAGGGGGTTTGGGACTTAGTGATCAACCTGATAGTCTTTGCTTTTACAAGTGTGTTTATTCGGGCCCACTGGTTAGAAACTAGAAGAAATACCTCCACCTGCTGACTTATGACTAAAAGGAGAATGTTCTCACCTGACTTTGACCAGTGCACCAGTCAATATTGAAGGTGTTGATGATTGCAAAATTAGAGATCATATCAGAAATAGGGATCAAGTCTAATTGTCCTTTTATATAACTCATAAAGTTAAGTAAACTTAATCTTTTTTTAAAAAAGGAGTATATGAAGTAGTTCTAATGTGTAGCCTCTATATATGTTATATTTGTTTTTCATATCAAGATAGCTGTTTTAACCTTTCTTCCCTAGTTACTTTTACTGAAGATGACTTTTCTGTAAGTTGATATCACATTATGTAAAACTTTTCATTTTCCTCTCACTTTCATGATTGAGTTCAGTGAAGGTTTGTATTGACAGTTGCAACCCAGCTGGGCAAGGTGGCACATGCCTGTAATTCCAGCGACTTGGGAAGCTGAGGCAGGAGGATTGCAAGTTCAAAACCAGCCTCAGCAGTTTGGTGAGGCCCTAAGCAACTTAGTGAGACCCTGTCACAAAATTAAAAAAAAAAAAAAGAAGAAAGAAAGAAAGGGCTGGGGATGTGGCTTAGTGGTTAAGTGCCCCTGGGTCCAATCCCTGGTGCATCCCTAGCCCTCTTCGAGCTTTTATATTTTCTCAGTCCATAGGAAGTAATAGCAATAGACATTATCAGAGGAGACTATGATGCACACTAAATGTAATGGCCAGCCTCGTCTTGTTCCCACTTACACGCCCTGAGCTGATACTTGGAAGCTTGCTATTACTAATAAGATTCTGAAAATCAGGAATCGGCAACATGTTCCTGCTTCACTTTCACAAGTGTTGTTCATTTGCTTTTTGGTTTTAGGTGTTCCAACCCCAAGCCAAGAAATCCTGCGGCACACATTGAACACCCTGGTACGGGAGAGGAAGATCTATCCCACTCCGGATGGCTATTTCATTGTGACCCCACAGACTTACTTCATAACTCCTTCCCTCATAAGAACTAACAGTAAATGGTACCATTTGGACGAGAGGATACCTGACAGGTCTCAGTGTACCTCTCCACAACCTGGAACCATAACGCCCTCTGCCTCAGGCTGTGTCAGGGAAAGGACATTGCCCAGAAACCACTGCGACTCTTGCCACTGCTGCCGAGAAGACATGCACAGCATGCACGCATCCACTCTGCAGAGGAAATCTGCCAAGGACTGCAAAGACCCTTACTGCCCTCCTTCTCTGTGCCAGGTGCCACCCACTGAAAAGAGCAAAAGTACTGTAAATTTTTCTTATAAGACAGAAACTCTCTCGAAACCTAAAGATAGTGAAAAGCAGTCCAAAAAATTCGGGCTCAAGTTATTCCGGCTAAGTTTTAAGAAAGACAAGACCAAACAGCTGGCCAACTTTTCTGCCCAGTTTCCTCCAGAGGAGTGGCCGCTGCGCGACGAAGACACGCCCACTACCATCCCTCGGGAAGTGGAGATGGAGATCATTCGGCGGATAAACCCGGACTTGACTGTGGAAAATGTCATGAGGCACACTGCACTAATGAAGAAACTTGAAGAAGAGAAAGCGCATAGGAGTAAAGCAGGATCCTCTGCCCACCACAGCGGAAGAAGTAAAAAGAGCAGGACGCATCGAAAGTCCCATGGGAAGTCTCGGTCACACAGCAAGACGCGGGTGTCCAAAGGAGACCCTTCCGACGGTTCGCATCTGGACATTCCTGGTGAAAGAGAGTATGACTTTTGTGACCCTCTGACCAGGGCGCCCAGGGAGGGCTGCTTCATCATCGAGCACAAAGGCGACAACTTCATCATGCACAGTAACACGAACGTGATTGAGTCCCATTTCCCCATGACACCAGAATGGGATGTGTCCGGTGAATTGGCCAAAAGGAGAACTGAGATGCCTTTTCCTGAACCTTCCAGGGGAAGCTCACACTCCAAAGTGCACCGAAGCCACAGCCATACCCAGGACCGAAGGTCCAGGAATGAGAGACCCAGCAAAGCCAAGGAGAGGTCCAGATCCATGGATAACTCCAAAGGCCCCCTGGGCGCTTCTTCTCTAGGCACACCCGAAGACCTGGCCGAAGGCTGTAGCCAGGACGACCAGACCCCCAGCCAGTCCTACATCGATGACAGTACTTTAAGGCCTGCTCAGGCTGTTGGTCATCAAAGGGCTCTCCTTTCATCCGCAAGCTATAAAGAGGTATGTATTCCAGAAATAGTTGGTGGCAGCAAGGAGCTTTCCAGTGCTTGTAGCCTCTTGGAGCCAGGCAAACCACCCGAGAGTTTGCCACCCTACGGGGAACTCAGCACCTGTCCAACCAAAACAGCCGCTGATGACTATTTCCAGTGCAACACTTCTAGTGAGACGGTACTCACCGCACCGTCGCCTCTGGGGAAGAATAAGGAGGACCATGCCACTCTGACCCTGGCAGAAGGCATGAAAAAGCTGTCTCCCTCTGATAGGCAGGCCCCGCATTCCTCCAGGGAACCTGTCAGCCACAAGGAGGAGTCACCAAAAGGGTCAGGGGGGGGCCCTGCTGCTTCGGGTGGAGTGGCTGAAGGCATTGCCAACGGACGCCTGGTCCAGCACCACGGTGCAGAACCCAGCAGCCTGGACAAGAGGAAAGAGATATTCAACAAAGACACACTGTTCAAGCCTCTTCACAGCACCTTGTCTGTAAACAGCTATCACAAGTCAAGCCTGTCCCTCCTCAAATCGCACCCGAAGACCCCTGCTGACACACTGCCAGGCCGATGCGAGAAACTGGAACCGTCCCTGGGGACCTCGGCAGCACAAGCCATGCCAGCTTCCCAGCGTCAGCAGGAGTCTGGAGGGAACCAGGAAGCCTCTTTTGACTATTACAATGTCTCCGATGACGACGACTCTGAGGAAGGGGCAAACAAAAACGCTGAGGAGGAGAAAAATAGAGATGATGTAGGCACCATGCAGTGGCTTCTTGAGAGGGAGAAGGAAAGAGACTTGCAGAGGAAGTTTGAGAAGAACCTCACCCTCCTCACCCCAAAAGAAACTGACAGCAGCAGCAACCAGAGAGCCACCCATTCAGCCCGGCTCGACAGCATGGATAGCAGCAGCATCACCGTGGACAGTGGATTCAACTCCCCACGGTAGGGAGAGGGGTCTGCACACACACCCCCACTGGGGCCTGGGGCTTTATGCAGATAACTTGAGAAGTTTCTGATCTCACAGTCTTGCTTCTGTGAATGAGGGCTAAGAGTTGTGTGTGTTGTGTTGTTAACAGCCTGTTTCTGACTTCTTTTTCAGGAATTGAAAAAAAAAAAAGTTTCTGCAGCTGTAGAGATCACCAATCTGGACTGGTGGGTTGGCTCCTTCCCTCAGACTTGCATCAGTCTGGTCTAACTAAGACCAGCACTTCCCAGTATTTCTTCTATTCCTGTTGCCATCATGCTAAAGAAAAGGGTTTTTTTGTTTTGTTTTGTTTTGTTTTTACAAGTCCTTCAGAAATAATAACTTTTTGAAGAGTGAATAGTCAGTGGGGAACAGGGATAGGGAGTCACCTGATGCTAAGGTAGGGGTCCCTCTAGTGAAAATATTAATCACAGACCTCAAAACCTTTCCAGAGGACCTGGAATCTTGCTGCATTGTAATCCCACTTTGTGTGCAGCCTGCCCACTTGCTCATGCACCTTCCTGCCTCTGCCCTCTTGTCTACAAAGAAATGGAAATATGTTCCTCTCACAGAAAGGTCGGGGGCCTGTGCTCCAGTAAATCAAGACATGCACCAGTGCTTTTATTTCTCTTCCTGCAGAATTGATACAACCCATTTAGGCACTGTCGTCACAGTCGCTTCCTTTTGTAGGTTTTGTTAATTCAGAAGAGTTGATAATTGAGAGTATAATGCCTGATGGTCATGTCCAAAGCACTGAAGTGGTTCAGAAGTTACAAAAGCAAACTGAGGAGTCTAGATAACTTCCTTTTGTTCCTCCTTAACTCTTTCTTCTCCTTAAAAGGGCAACTTGGGTCCTAAATCTCCTTCTAAATTCTACTCCAGATTGGTGACTCTGAGATGCAGAAATACTTTGAAGAGACTGACATTCCTCATCAGCTGTGATTCCCAAGATCTTACAGTACTTATAATTTTTAATAAGTACCCAGATATGATTATGGACTTCATATCTTTATTTTAATTATTAAGAATTAAAATTAATTCTGTTGTGATCATTTTGCCATTTCTCTGGATACTTTGGGGATAGAGCATCCCAAAGTCAGAACTGGGAATCATTAATCTGTTTGTCCCATATTAGGCCTTTGTTATTTCTTAAAAGGGCTATTTCTTGATGATTATAATAATAGTTATTATTATTATGGTCATGTGAACTTTTTGCAAGTTAACGTGTAAGTCTAATGTCCAAACAGACCATACAGATGGCATGCTGGTTAAAGTGGGTGGGAGACCAAGAGTCCCAGGTCTCCTCTACCTGTCCCTTGAGGATCCTTGAGAAACCACAGCCATCACACCCAGTCTTTAAATCACTGGCCTATTTAGTGACTTTTCTAAGAAATTGTTTTTGCTAAATCATTTTTTATCCAAAACCAAATTTTCATGTATTCTCCAATTTATTTTCTCTAATCTTTTCTACCTATTTTCCTATTCTGCTCTTTTTTTTCTCTTGAAAAATTTTATGTAGTGGGTACCAGATATGCATAATTGAAGGTCTGTAGTCTGTGGCAAAAGCTCAAAGTCATTGCTTATTGAAGGCATGTTTTATGTCCCTGTATCTTTGTGTTCCCCTATTGCTTATGACGTAGACTCTACCGCCTGGTGCTTTTCATACTACAGTTTCAGACTCTTCATGTTGCCCTCTTGACCCCTAGACTTCCACATGCAGAGGTCACTGCTAAGGATACATCAGGAGTAGTTTAGTGGATTCTAATATAAAACCCTACTACTGCATAATATTGAAAGTTTTTGTTTGTTTAGGGGTTAACAGAAGTATTCAGGAATAACCAAATGAGTATCTCTGCATAATGTAGTATCTCAAAACTTGGAGTGCAGACTGTAGGATTTTTTAAATAACATTCAAAAGTTAAATGCTTTGTTGTAGTAAAGTTTGTTATAAGGAGACTGCCTTCACATATTAGTCGCATGTCTATCTATGCTTCACTATAGGAACAAATAGATTTTTCCATAAATTTCATGCAGTTAGAGAACCTACAGAACAATTCCTAATTTTACCCCTTTCAGATTTAATATCATTTGGTTAGAAGCCAGATGACAAACTTCATTTCTATATGCCTTGATAAAGTCACTAAGTTACCTTTTTAGTGCATGAGGATGTGCAAGAGAATTTTTGATTTACGGGGCTTTCAACATGAGTAGTGTTGTAGCTAAGTAACATTATCATGCTGATACCTTCCCATTGCTGAGACATGCGAATCTTTAGTGGGCTGTTCATTCAGATCTTTGAGTAAAATATTTCACTAAGCAACTAAGATGCAAGTAAGCAAGATGAGTTTTCCCTATACTTAAAGGTTTTAGTCCTGACCCATCAGTCCTGTCCAGCCACATTTCCAAAATGTTTTAGTCCAATCTATTGGAAATTAAAAATGTTGAAAAAATAGTATAGATCAACTTGATCTATACTATGAGGTCTTGTAATAAAAATGAAAAATTTTGACATGAAAAGCCTGCTACTTCCATAGCTGAGGCCAAAAAAATGGTTGAGCAACACAATATGAAAATAAGAGACCATGTATGGCAAGAGACATGTGCTAGAGCAGCCTAGGGCCAAGGGAACACATGCCAGTAGAAGGATGAACAACACAGCTACTTATTTCACTTCTCCGACTTATTCCTGGAATTTTTATTTTTAAGGTTGCATTCCATTAGCTCCCTCTAAAAAATAATTAAATTTATTGATAACAGTTCATTTCTATTAACTTTTTATCATCATATCCTGAGACCTCAGTATGAATGTCATAGTCTGTACTCATTATTAAATATATTCTTTATAGAAGCTGGAATACTACCTATATTTATCACTATTAATACGTTGTAGTGGTCAAAGGCATCTTATAGCAGAGACAGCTCCCCACTTAGGTGATGTTAAGGATGAAGAGGAAAGGAAAGACCTCCCCACCATAGTATGTGGACCTGTAGACTAGCTGGAGCAGGCTTACAAGCTAAGGAGGTTCTTACAGCCACTCTGAGGACCTTGAACATGAAGGATTTACTCAGTTCTCCTCAATCAGACTCAGTCATCTTCATTGCTGTTATTGCCCTACATGTTTGAAATGTTAAATGTTATATACATCGCTTAAGCAATGAAATAGGTTCAAGGATTTCTAATTTAGAAAAATTGTTAGAAAAAAATGAGAGAAATAAAGCTTTTTAGCCTCTATTCTATAAGAATCCTCTAAAAAAGAAAATATTTCTACCAAAGGAAGGCAGAAATGAATGTAAACTTGATAAATAAATGGGGAAAAAACCCTAAGGTCCTTTGTCAGAAAATATATTTTAACTAAAGTGTTAAAATTTGACACAGAGGTATACAGTGTTGAAAAAGAATTTTATCCCCATCACGGTGGAAATGAGCTAGTAGCATGCTTGAAGTCCAACAAAATCAAAATCTCCTAATCAACGAGGCAAATGTGGTCATTAGGGTAAAATTATTGAGTTTATTCAGGAGTAGTTGTGCCCACTGAATTTCTGGCCTGAAATGAAATCGTCACTCTGGTATGAGTATTCCCTTCTCAAACTAATGTGATAGCTTCTCTATCACATCAGATTTTGAAGTAGTTTCCTTGAATGTGAAAAGAAGGCGCAGCCATTTCCAAGTGCACTCGGTGGTTGAGAACCCCTTGATTCCTTCTGCGTGCTGCAGATGGTAACGTGTCTGTTAAAGCTCCCGGAGCCCCGGCTGGAAGAGCGGATGCGAGTCATCAGTGGAGATGTATATTGATATGACATTGTGAACCGACACAGGAAATCCATTAACTACATCATTCGCTCTTCCTCTGGGGCTCAATATGTAACTATTTATGTTCAAAGCCAAACAAAACCAAACCTTTTTACTCTTTTAGTACTCGGGAGAGCCTGGCTTCCAACACATCAAGCATTGTTGAGAGTAACCGTCGTCAGAATCCCGCTCTGAGTCCAGCCCACGGTGTAGCTGGGTCAGCCTTCAACTTCCGTGCGAGTACAGACCCCCCGACCAGCGAAGCTGAGAAATTACAGAAACCTTCCAACTGCTTGCAAGCTTCTGTGACTAGTGTGTGATAGTCCTTCTGCCTCAGATCTTCTGTCTCATTCAATACAGCAAAGTTTACGACACTGGGACTGATGTTTACATCTTTGGAAAGACAAGCATCTCAAGCACAGTTTTCGTGTTTACTTAAACTGTGCAGCTAAGTAGGCTAGGGCAAAAAAAAAAAAAATCTTTATTTCAGAGTATTGCTTTTCACATTTATGGCTCTGTAGCAACTGAATAGCAGTAGGGGTGATATGTATACTTTGGCTTCACTAATTGTATCTGAGCACACATAGGAAAGTCTAGACACTGTAAGTGGAATATGCGTTTTCAATGTCATGCAGTTGCCAATTCCATTTTTAAAATGCCACAGATGTGTGTTGCTCCCAGTCTGTGGTTCAGTGGGGCCACGGAACTGATCTTTGACACTTCCCAAACAAACCAACCAACTAACAAAAACCCATGCCACCACAAAATGTCGAATGCAAGGGTCCACCTTAAGGGAAATCAATGCCAAACTGACCAGAAGGGACCCCCGCCCCGGCCCTTTGCGTGTAAACCGTTTATGCACCTGTCATTTTTCACTGTGAGTTTCATGGTACTGTTCTGCAGGAGTCCATGGAAGTATGTCAGAGCGGGTGGCGATGGAAATACCGGGAGTGTCTGTTTTCAGGATTTTGTTTTTGAGTGTGACAGATGCTTGTCTTGATTTTAAACCTTCCATGATCACAAACAGGAATATAGGCCTTTGATGCTGAAGTAGATAAAGGAAGGGAATTCCCATTCTGGCTGGGGCACAGCACTAAGTGAGGGAAAAGGTGATGTGGACGTTTTTAAAGGTATTCATCAAATATTGAAGGAAGATAATTTCCTCCTTGTGATACTTATGATGATCCTATCTTACTATAATAGATAACAATAATTAGTTTGTTTAAAAGCAAAATGTTCTTTGTGATACAAATGGAGAGTATGGCCTGGGGATGTTATTCTTTCTAATGGAAGGATATAAATCTATTTTATGTAGTTTTAAATAGAATGCCTAAATTAGGCTGTGGGAGATGATTTTTAGTGGTTATAGGAAAGAGCAAATTTAGGGAGAGTTGAACTTCAGGCCTTTTATTCCTGGGAAGATATCTATAGAGAAAACTTTTAAAGTAATTTTTGATTAGAAATATACATGCCCATGTAATAAGCAACAGAATGAGCTCATTCTGCTAGTGTGGTATAATCATAATTTGTACTCCCCTAAAGTTTATCAGAATAACAATTATGCATAATGAACTATGCCAGAGTAATGTTTACAGATACTTTGTAACCAATTTCAGGAGGTGTTTTTAGGCAGATGTATAGTCATTAGCCCAGCTTACTTCAAAATGATTTGTTAACATTTTGCTTTGGTTTACAATGTCATGTTGAATACAAAGAAGGCTCAGCAGCAAAGGATTACAAATAATTAAGCTTCAATCTTATAGGAAAAAGACATTTCAAAGTTCCCAAGCTTTATTTTCTGAGAACAATGGAACATGTTATAGATCATAGAAAACTATTTGCAAAAGGGTTTAGTCTGACTCAAGTAAATGGTCTGATAAAAAGTTATATTTAGTCTAGTGGCATGTGCTATTTGGAGCCAAACACCATTTTAAAAAAATAATTATATATATATATATATATATATATATATATATATATATATATATAATTTTTCACCTCAGATTTAAATAATTGGCATAACATTTGTGAAGCACTTCTGTTCCCATGTTAAATTTAATCACTAGCAATCAGTTTAAAGAATACAGTCGTATACATAGTCAGACTAATTTTTTAAACATGAATACTCATGCTTTATCACTATTTGAAAGTTGCAGTGGGTCAAAGTTTAGCATAATTCTCTTTTAATGCTTATTATAGTGAAATTTAAGCACATTTCCTAGTAAATTGCCACCCCATTGAAATGCTTAATCCAGTTGACTTTTAATCCCATGCCTTATTTTCTCCAAGGCATGCCTCGAATACTCAGAAACACACAGTCTGTCTCACTGCTTAAATATGTCCAGAAGAAATGATAACGTATCTAGTAGACTACATAATCTGTTTCCTTGGGGAGTTGTATACCATACAGTTACTAAATTTTTATGTCTAAATTTATTTTTTCCAAAAACCTGCTCTCAAATTTTCATCATCCTCAATTCATAAATATTAAAACAGTACATCGGCCTCTGATTGACCCTCTGAAAGTAGCCATTGAAATAATCAGATGCTGTGTGAGCAGGAAAAGAAATCATTACCTTTAAGAGAAGCTTTAAAATATGAACTTATCAATCTTTCACAAGAAATAGGTTTACAGAAAACATTGTTCAAAGAAAATGTGTATACTATTTGCCTGATGCTCCGGGGTACATGATTTTTAAAAGAAAACTTCCTTAGACCAGTAGCCATTAGCGTAGAAATGATGGACTGTAAAGGTGATATATCATGTAAGCAGATGTTCCGTGTAGAAATACTCTCCTGAATCAAATCTGGATTCTTGAATGGAGGAGAAGTGGTGGTGGAAAGCGCATGACATATGTGACATGCGACAATTGTGCATGTCCAAGAGGGTCTCACCGAGATGGTGAGGCTCTCCATGCCCGGGCCCTCAGGCCCTCTCCAAGCTTTGTGTTCTTTTCCTCCAGTGATACCATAGCTTTGTGTCACACAACTGCTTATCTAGTCTTAGAGTTTATCAACTGAAAGGTTTACAAAACTGAATCTGGTTGAATCTCTGTGAGGCGTTCAACTTTAAAGGGTCAACCCATCTGTCGGCATTTTGCACACTTATGTATTATTATGATACAGCATATTACTTTATGGTAATTTTTATTTTTACATATAACTACCTCCATGAATTTGATGAAATGGCAGCAGCGTGTTAAAGTGTATTGTTCAGAAAAGCAACATTTAAAACTTTCTTAAACATGAGGCCATGCATTGTGTGTGTGTCGGTGATTGCCTCTGGGGACTCATGACTATCCCATTGCCATGGTTTTCTTTCACGGCACCCTTTTGGCTTTCAGATGTAATTCTGTCTTCTCCTCTCTTTCCCATGAAAGCACACTTGACTTGGTCACGAAGGAATGGAAGTTTCAAAATTCTTGTGTTTCTCCCACTCTCCATTCCTCCTTAAAGTTCTCTCTGGCCAAGAGCCAATGGGTAAACATAATTTGGCAAGCTGTTTACTCCTATGTAAATCTGATTTGATGGCTAGGTTTTCAGTAACAGAAGTCACACAAGAAACTGCCAACTCTGAAGCACTTTGGGCCTCTCTGCCTTTATCATATGCCACCCTATTGAGCCCCAATTTCACTTTTATTAAAGGAGCTGTGCCATATAGTTCCATGACTTCTGTTAAGTAATTCATACTCCATTTGATATGTTTTGCACATCTCAGGGGACCTTAATGAGCATATGAAAAGGGGATGCATCTAATAGTGAAAACAAATAGAGCTAAAAAGGGCCTAGCTGGGTAAAAATAACACATGAATACTTCTCTGATGTTGGGGAGCTCAAGTTCAGGAAGGATAAATTGAAAGAATCCACAGTAACAGTGATCAGAACACCAGCTGTTCCCAAGTCTCTATTTTTCGTAACCCAACCAGCATTTCTAAAATGTAAACTTAAATTTTATTGCAGTCAACATCAGGAGAAGAAACCTGTTTTGTGGAAACGGAAAAAATCATTCCCCTTTCAGTTTGGCACAACTTGGTAAGCTTCTACCCAGGATAAACCACTTATCACCACAAAGTGTACTTGAAAATAAAATTTTTAACTTAAATGATAGGCATGTTTCTCTCGATACAATAGAGATCATTTTTGGAAAAGTCTCACCATTTATAACATGGGTAGTATTAGAAGCTTCATTTAAAAACCAACAACCAATGATGATGTTGCTCAGTTCATTTGGGGATCTCAAAGTGCTTCCAAAGCATTAGATTCACAGACAGTTAACAAGGCAGGTCATATTTGTAATATACTTGGGATGATTTAGATTACCTAGAAACACAGTGGCAGCTATCAATGACCTATTTTCTATCTGTTTGATAGACCATCATGAGAAATCATTAAATACAATGCTCTTTTTCTGATGAGTGCTAATAAAGTAAAAAAAAAAAAAAACAAGTACAGTCTTACACCTTTGTCTATTTTCATTCAAAAAGTTTAGGGTGTTTGGAATCTTGCACCTCAGCACACCTTCTGGTATTGAATGATGAAGTGGGAGTTGAACAGATCCACCCAGATTCCCTTGCAGTCCAAGGCAGATCCAGATGTCCACCCTTGTTTACAGTTTCATATTGGATTTCTATAATTCCTGTGCTAAATATCTTCAGGAACAAGACTGCTCTAGGCAGTGGAAGGTGCTGAAACAAATTTCAATTAAAAACTTTATCAAGTACTCTTCACAGTGCTCCATGGCACAATAGAAATTCAGTACAATATATTGAGCCCGACTTTGTAGGATCTGATCCAGTGCTAAATGTTTTCACAAATTAGGAGACAGAAAACCCTTTACAGGAATCTTCTCCATTACCATAGGCCTGTCCTCAAACCAACTAGCAGTGCTATGGACCACAGTAGACCCAAGCAAATGATTGCTTCTCCCTCCTTCCCCCAGAACCATCCTGCCCATTGCCAAAGCCATCCAGTACTTTCCTGTTAGTGAGAGACTCTTCTGAACACATTTAGGGCTCCGGGAAGCTGGAACACAGGAAAAATAAATGCAAAAGCCATGGGAGATATTGTTTTGCTTTGGGTTAGTAAAATATGAGCAGGAAAGAGATTACTCTCAGTCTGAGCTTTGCCAACAAAGATAAAGAATCAGCTGTCACCCCAGCCCTCTCACAGAAGGTTTTATGGTATTAAGGTTACATCCAATATCTTCCCATAGATTTTTATTTCAGAGACATTTCATAAATTATATGTATATGAAAAAAAAACTATTAAATTTCCTCGTGTGTTTGAAACAGGCATTGGCACCTCTCTGATTGAGTTAATCTCTGCATCTTTTGCAGCAGCATCCCAGAGAGAGATTCCCCGGTGATCTCTCCTAACACACAATCTTGTGTTTTTACAGTTCTGTGACTTACAATTGATGAATTGTAAGATTCAGAATTCCACAAAGCTCAAGGGGGCCTGAACCTTCTTCTTATGATTGTATATACGATCAGTTCTAGGGCTTTAATTGCTACTTGTTGGCTCTGCATGTGAACACACACACACCCACACAATGCCAACAAGGGGATAGGGTGTCTCCAAGTAGGCAGCAATGACTCTGGAGAGGTGGAAACTCATGGTTGGAATGTAAGGTTACAAACTGGGCTGGGCCATGTGCAGCTGCCTATCTCCCCATACAAAGGCTGACCTTGGGATCCCCATTCTCTCACTCCCACCAAAAAGGTACCAA